TGTGGCTCAAGTGGTAGAGCGCTAGCCTTGAGCTGAAGAGCTGAGGGACAGCGCCCAGGCCCAGAGTTCAGGCCCCATGACCGGACTCCACAAAAAAAGAAAATTAGGAAAAAAGTCACAGAGACGATTGAGGTCTTATTTGAAAAGACAGAGTTATCCTAAGATCATGATCTAGAAATAAGTTATTTACAGCTATACTATATTAAACTTAGCTCTGTAATTTTCTGGCAACTGAGAAATACAGCATTCTTAGTTTCTGACTAAAAGAAAGATAAAACTTCTTTTGGAATCTATTTGGCTTATATTCATACAATGTATATTTTTATTATAAAAGTAGTGTTAATGTGAGTTCATTATTTATGTAAAAGAAAAAAATTCACTTGCCATCCTACAGCTGCAATAAAGCTAAATATTTCCTGGTGGTTTGTTCACACAATCTTTGTGGGTTTTTTTCTCTGTTTTTTTTTTTGTTTGTTTGTTTTAACTCAGAAAGGTCAGTATCAATTTCTACTTTTGCATGTATTGTCTTTAATAACCACATGGTGTCAATGAATTATACTTAGGCATTTCTTGATGGCTAGGTGTTTAATGGTTCTCCCTTTTTTTCCCTCATCATGAAGAATAAACAATCAATATTGTAGTCTTTTTCCTTTTTAGAATACTTTTCAGTAAATGAGTTTCTAGGCATGAGATTGGGCTAACAGTATAAACATCATTTTTTTTTTTGTTGTTTGTTTGTTTTGATCAGTGGTAGGGCTTGAACTCTGGGTTTGGGTACTGTCTCTGCACTCTTCAGCTCAAGGCCAGCACTCTACTGCTTGAGCCACAGTGCCACTTCCGGTTTTCTAGTGGTTTATTGGAGATAAGAGTCTCACAGACTTTCCTGCCGAGGCTGGCTTTGAACCATGATCCTCAGATCTCAGCCTCTGAGTAGCTAAGATTACAGGTGTGAGCCCTGCCCTCCGCCACCCCCACCCCCATCATTTGTTTTTCTAAGCCTGACTATTTACTTTGTTATGACACTTTTGACTTTACTATCTTGTATGGTACATTTTAAGAAAAATTTACTAAAGTCTTGTAGACCAATGGTCTTTTCCAATTCTAAGTGGCCCTCTGGATCTCCTTCAAGGCACAAATAAGAATCTCAAAATGATGGCATCTTTGGCTTAGTTTGAATTTTTTACTGGAGTTAATGTGCTCTTAGTATTTCAGTGTGTATTACATAGGGAGAGGATATTTTTCATTGGATTAGGAATAAACTAATTGTTGGGGCAAAGGACAGTGGAAGGTTAGGGATGTTCAGCTGCTCAGGCCTCTTCTCCTATCAGGAAAGTCCTTGAAGTTGTAGTCCTCATACTTCCAAGATGTCTGTCCCCATGAAAATTACAGAGCTAGAATCATCCTGCATGGGGTGGCTGGGCTCCACTTTCCCACTATTTATGGCTGTCAAAATGTAAATGGAACTGAGAGTTTCCTTCTTTCCTGGATCTCAAACAGCTTGATCTCAGAGTGCAGATCTTCCCCAAGTGTTTCCAGAGAAGACAGCCTGAGGGAGAGGAAGTGGTGCTAATTAAATCCTCCCTCTGTTTTCCAGGCACAGGAGCCTTTCGCAGATGTCTGTTGTTAGGCGTGTGTTCGTGGAGTGCGCAAATACAGAAGCAGGCTTTCCTTCCCAGTGACACAAACCTTCCTTCATGGGTTAGAGGAAACTTTAGAAATGTGATTCCTTACACTGTGCTGTTAAAAGGGTAGCAAGGCTGTATAAATAAAGCATGAAGCTGCCAGCAAGGCCAATGTGCCTCACCAATCTCTCTCTCTGATCTCTCTCCCTCTCTCTGATCTCTGTCTTCCGCCTTTCTTTCCTTCTTTCTATCCTGCTCTTTCTTTCTTTCTTCCTTTTCCTTTTCTTTCATTCCTTTCTTTTTCTTTCTTTCCTTTCTTTCTTTTCCCTTTCTTTCCTTCATGTCTTTCTTTCTTTTCCTTTTCTTTCATTCCTTTCTTTTTCTTTCTTTCCTTTCTTTCCTTCATTTCTTTCTTTCTTTTTCTTTCCTTCCTTTCTTTCTTTCTTTTCTTTCTTTCTTTCTTTCTTTTCTCTCTCTCTCCCTTTCTCTCTCTGATTTCTATCTCTGATCTCCCTCTCTGCCTTTCCTCTGTCTCTCTCTTCTTGTTGTCTCTCTCTGCTCTGTCTTCCTCTTTCTTTCTTTCTTTCTTTCTCTCCTTCTCTCTCCCTCCCTCTCTTCCTCCTTCCTTTTCTCTTTCTCTCTCTCTCTCTCACACACACACACTATTCTGCTGCTTCTGCTTTCTTTGTATTTTTATAGGCCAACCTCTGCCATTTGTATACCTACTATGTAAAAATTACCTGCAGATTCAAGGAAGTACTTCCTATTATGAGGCAGTACGGCATTATGGTGGCCAAGCTGGACTTAGAGCAGAGTCAACATTCCAGGTGTTTCCACAACTCTCCTAGTGTGCCCTGGATGGGGCTCCTCTGAATTCTATTCTCAGAAACATGGGGATACATAAACAAGCTGTCCAGGGTTGCTGGGAAGACCAGATCTGACAAAATAAAATGTCTACTATGCAAGACTCTACTTGCATCTGAGTTCCCCTAAACTGTGCTTTCTCTTACCTTCCTCCCCTTCAAGATGATAATGCCTGTATATACATTTGCCCAAGATAGTTCTATGTATAGGAATCATCCTGGAATAAGATAGTTCTATGTACAGGAATCATCCTGGAATAACTTCAGATTGCATCCTTTCTATGTCACAGTACTCAGGTGTGCGTAATGCACTGTACGAGTATGCTATTGTTACTTCTTGAATCTTCAAGCCCAATTTCAAGAGAGAAAACCTGTTTGAGAAAGAAACTTTTTCTTCACTTCTGGTGTTTCACAAGAATTGGGAAATTGAATTAAAATCACCTTCATTTGTTTAACAACAGGTGGAATTAATGTCACATGCCATGTTGACACTGGGCATAAAACCTTCCATTTAGCATGTGGAGCAGATTTTCTGTAAGAATGGCCTACATGTGTTTGAGTGTGCAGGCTTGGCTTAGACATGCCTTCCTCAAGACTGGCAAGTGCCTTCCATTTTCTTTTGCTTTGCTTTATTTTACAACTAAAAATTAACTTAGGTTTGAGTGTTAGTGGCTCACACCTATAATCCTAGCTTCTCAGAAGAGCAGGGAAGTCTGAGAGACTCTCATCTCTAATTAACCAGCAGAAAACCAGAAATGATTGTATGGTTCAAATGATAGAGTGCCAGGATTGAGTAGAAAAACTAAACAGCACGAATTTCTGAGTTCAAATCCTGTATGTGTGTGCACACACATGTACACACATACACACACACACACACATGCATGCACAAATGTGCTGAGTTATAAGTGGTCTTGTGTCCTTTAGTTGCCCACAAAACAGACCTGAAGGTATGGTATTATTGCTATAAGCTTCTAGTCTTGTAAGTTTTTAAGCAAATCTAGAAGAGAAATCGTGGTAATTATTTCATGCTCTTTTTCCCTTCATTCTTCTGCTGTTCTCCAGGAATTAACAATGAGACAATGGTTCATTTTCTCTGTAGAGTCTTTGCTTCTCATCTGGCAAATGGTCATGGGTAGTAGGTGGGCATCGGTGTCAGTAACTCTCTTTGGATAATGTGTGACAGCTTGGAAATATGGTTTATTCATCGTATCCCATTTTGGCATAACCAAGGTACAGATGCATTTTTTTTCCTTTTCTAATGAAAGGACTGTTTCTTATCCTTCTAGAGGCTGAAAAATGTCAACAATTGGGAATTTCGAGGGATTTCAGCCTGTGTCTCTGAAACAAGACGATGATGATCAACCTTCTGAAGCTGATCACCTGTCTGTGAAGGAGGGGCAGGTGGGCAAGGAAGATCGCAGGCCCAAGCAGATCTCAAGGCAGTCAAGTGTGACTAAATCAACACTCTACCCCAATCCTTACCACCAGCCCTATCTCTCACGGAAGTACCTCGTTACACGGGTAAAATTGATGATGCTCCTAAATACTTTGTAAAACTTTCAAAAAAACCCCACCTTGTTATCCTTTAATATAATACATGTTTGGCAAGTTGTTAGACTTGTTACTAATTTCATTTAATAGACAAAATAGTTGTGATCTAAGTATTCTTATGTGCAATGGACTGATGGCCGACTTGAACTTCAAAGAAGCAAAGACTCTGCTTGTGATGGCTCAGACAGTATTAAGAGACATAGTCATTCCAGTCTCCCTGGATTTTGGTCTCAGTTCTGTGTTGATGCTAAATGCAGCCTCAAAGAATTAATGTTTTAAGCTATCAGTGGTGGTGTCTGACTCTAATCCCAGCCACACAGAAGGCACAAGTTGTAGGACCATGGTCCAGGCTGTCCCCTAGTAAAAAGCATGAGTTCTTATCTGGAAAATAAAAACATTTGATAGGGACATGGTTTGATAAGAAGAGACTGTCTAGCAAATAGAAGGCTCTAGATTCAAACTCTCATATTGCCCCAAAGAGAACTTACTTTGGAAAAGAGCTTATTTTTGCTTTATGGATAGAGAATCTGTAACATAGCAGCAGCTAGAATATAAAGCTGTGAAAGTGTTATTTGGAAAAATAACTATACGAAAGGGTTGCTAAGAATGGGCTGAATTTAAAGATTGATGTTGGGATTCTGTATTTCAATATGGGAACATGCATTTCAAGAGCTCAGTCTGTAGCTGAATGTTCACATCTGTGCAGAATATGTAAAAAATGCTATCTTAAAGCCAGATGCAAGTGGCTCACACTTGTAACCCTAGCTACTCAGGAGGCTGAGATCTGAGGATTGCGGCTCTCAGCCAGCCAACGTAGAAAAGTCCATGAGATTCTTATCCCCTGTTAATTACCAAGAAGCTGAAAGCTAGTTGTGGCTTAAGTGGAAAAGTGCTAACCTTGACACAAAAACTTAGAGACAGTACCCAGGCCCTGAGTTCATGCCTCAGTACTGGTGTGTATGAGTGCATGCGCGCGCGCACACACACACACACACACTAAATGCTATCATATCTTTCTAGTATTTTAGTTGATAAAAGAATACTGCATGTGGGACACTGGTGGCTCACACCTGTAATCCTAGCTACTTAGGAGACTGAGATCTGAGGGTAAAGGTTCAAAGCCAGCCCAGGCAGGACAGTCCATGAGACTCTCCAATAAACTCCATGAGACTCTCCAATGAACCACCAGAAATCTCCAATAAACCACCAGAAAACTGGAAGTGGCACTGTGGCTCAAGAGGTAGAGAGGTAGAGTGCTAGCCTTGAGCTGAAGAGCTAAGGGACAGCACCCAGGCCCAGAGTTCAAGCCCCATGACCGACAAAAAAAGAAAAAAGAGTGCTGCATAAGTTTCTTGTGTCTTTCTCTGTTGAAGTTTCTTTTCAACTTAATGGTTTTCTTCTTTCTTTTCTTTTTCTTTTTTTTGGTTCTGGTCATGGGGCTTGAACTCTGGGCCTGGGCGCTGTCCCTCAGCTTTTCAGCTCAAGGCTAGCGCTCTACCACTTGAACCACAGTGCCACTTCCAGCTTTTTTCTTTTTGCTTATATGGTGCTGAGGAATCAAACCCAGGGCCTCATGCATGCAAGGCAAGCACTGAGCCACCTTCCCAGCCCAACTTAATGGTTTTCTTTCCCAATTATTCAATGTTCTTGTCAACAAGAATATTGCAATCAAGGAGACAAATTTGAGGAGTGTGTGCTGTGACAAGTGACATCCAATTTTAATATGTACCTGGGTCATCTTTGTTAAAAATTATATCAACTAAATATATAAATGAGAGTGAAGAATCTGTGACTATTTAAAACTTTAATGAATTCTGATTTTGTAGCCTGAAAAACATATTGAAGATAAAGTTTTAGCTAAACCAACTCTATGTGTACATGCATGCATGTGTATGTGTGTATATATGTGTGTGTGTGTGTGTGTGTGTGTGTGTAAGTGTTACATAGCCTCCCATTTGCAAGGTGCTTTGGTAGGTGCTAAAACTGTGTTTGCATGAGTGTTTTTTGCATATGTCAAGCTATGGTTTGCATTCCAAACTATATAAACTTCATCGGGTATGCAAAGTTGAGTTGTATGAGAGAGGTGTAAAGGAAATCAAAGCATCCTGCAGAATTTTATTATCTTTGACATGGATGATACCAGGATGTGATGAGAAAGAATAATACAGTGATAGAGAATAAGAGACTTACCCTTGAGAGCAAGTAAAGTCATGAGAGCTGGCTAAAAAGTCTTGTGAAATTGCTGTTCTTACATGATGACCCAGAGGTTGGTCCTAAAAGGCTGTGTAGTGAGAATAGGGAATTGTGAGTAAGAAAAAACCCTGCATGACAAAACTGAAATTCTTCATGAAAAAGGGTAATTCCTAAGGAGAAATTGGAGGCCATGTCTATTTCCCACCAACTCTACCTATACTGACATGAGTCAGTTTTAGAAGTGGTACCTTTACCCTTGGTTCAGGGGTAACAGAATTGTATCTACTTTAGAGAAAACAAAACTCTAGAAAATACTTTGCACATTGTGTACTCAGACTTTAATGAAAGAAGACACAGGTTCAAATACTGCCTCTTGCGATTAAGTAAACTCAGGTTGTAGCTGCCACAAATAAGAGCTGCTACAGTGCATAATAGCCTGCATTGATTTTCAGCATGGAAAAGACCTGGCGTTTCACTTCTGCCTTTTGAATCCTTTACACATGTCTCTTGTGGACAACTCTAACTTAAAAATATACAGGAAAAACAATTCTAGGAACTGTAGCTCTACCACAGCTGAACTGACACTTTCCAGAGCCACTACAGATGTTAATATATATTTACATGGTATTTCTTTAAATTTTTGTGGTCTGTAGCTTATATAACTCACATCCCTTTTTTATTTGGTCCTCTAATGCACTACTGCAAGGTAGGCAGGGGACAATGTACCATCTTTGTCTTAAAGTGAACATATTGAAGTTTCAAAGAAACAAAGTCAGCTCTACAAGTCACATTCTATTACTAGATCAGCTTCCTATAGATTCTGGAACTTCTGACTGTGAGTCCAGTGCTTTTGCTAGCATGTAAATGAAAGTTTAGGGCCTTTTTATGAGAATTATCAGTGAATAGCTCTAGTCAATATGAAGAACCTCTTTTGTAGGCCTATTAAAAACTCTCTAGACCAAGAAACATAATATGAAGAATTCTTTTTGGCATTTGAGTATAATGAATGCTCATTAACACATGGAAGAGTAATGAAAATACAACTTTAATAAAATACAGCAGTTGGAATTTACAATGATATATATTTTTTAAAATAAATAATGGAATGATCCAATTTTACGAAATCAGATCTGTTGGTGTAGTGGTATTTGGAAAGAGAGTATGTTTTATATATACAGAGGGGATTTGAACTCAGAGAAGGGCTTAATATCACATTAATGAGCTTTGACCCACTGAAGAATGCAGTAAGTGACAAACCTAGAACTAGAACTAAAGTTCACCAGCTCTCAATCCATAGTTCCAAGATTTCTTGCCATAGTTAGGAAAAAAATGTACCCCACACCAAGCGTGTAAAGGACCTAGGTTGCAATTTGAGAAACAGTGAGTGAAAAAATTTCTTGGCCAAACATTTCATTAAAAGACTTTAAGATCATCAGGCAGGAAGTGGTTTATTGATGTAAAATTGAAAAACATGATTAAGCAAAATAAATAATCCCATAATCTCATTGCTCAAAGTTAATAAAAACCCATTGACTATCCCCATGTTGTACAAGGGGGAATGTGTAAACTGTTCTTACCCATATCAACAATATGCTTTAATAACACCATTTTAACAACTCCATAATATCCCACTAGTGGGATAGGCTACAGTTTATTTAACCTTATTTAGATATTTAGACGGTTTCCTGTTTGCATAACTTAAAGTTGGAAAGAAAGCTCTTCCTTGTCTTCGGTGGTGGAATGGCGCTCAAGTTCCTCAGGTGCTAAGAATGTTATAATAAGAAAATAGAGCAATTATATGTGTTTGGAGCTGGATTTGCAAACATGTTACCAATATGGAAATGCAAATTCATTTTTGACAAAAAGGTATTTTTAGCATCAGAATCTCAGGTACTATTAGGTCATAACATAAGCTAGTTTGGGCCCTGACAAGACTTGTGCTCTTTTCTTGTCAATCTGGGAGGTTACTTCTTCCATCTTCCAGCTTGTTCTTTATTGACTATAACTGTGCTCCTCCAAATCAGTTTGGGCAAATTCTGCTCAGAGATAGAGGGTTTTAAGGAATATTCTGTTCGTTACTGAAACACACAAGGTCAATTGGCTTTAGGACAGTGCCAAAATTGGAAGATAAGCCTAGGAAGATAAGCCAGGACTCCTGATGCTTTTCACCTCTATACTATCTCTGACCTTGGAAAATAAATTAGAGGACACATACATTGAAGTTTAAACCAACTCCCATCAGTATGCTTGGATAACCTTTTCTTTTGGTTTCATGTATCTGCTATTACTACTTAGATACAGCTATAAAAAGGCCTAGTGCCTTCTCTGAACAAAAGTATCCCTCAAGGCTAATAACTTGAGGTATATTATGGTAATCATCTTAGTTGTGGAGACTGATCTTCAAAAGCAACTTCTTATGAAAGGAACAATACTTAATCCACATGGAGAAAGATATTTTTAAACTCCCTGTAGGACTCTATATTTGCAGATACCTTATCAGAAAGTTGAAAGCAATTCAGGATAGGGAATTATCTCTAAATTTATACTTGAGAATATAAATTACATACAAACTAATGGGACTAAAACTATTTGATCTTTTAATATTTAATTAATGGTTCCCCATGGCCTTTTTATAGCCTGTGTTCTATTGTGAGCAACGAGACTTTAATAAGCAGGTTCAGGACTTCCCATTGTGTAGTGAGATGTCATTGCTTCCATGACACTAATTTGGCTTTCAACATCTCTCCCTTTCCCTCTCTCTTGTTATAGGGATCCCT